GCTTGGTTGTCTGTCTCTAAGTGTAGCCCTGTGATAGACTGGTTACCTGTCCAGGTGAACCTGCCTTCTAGTGAGGATTAAGCGGTGTATAGATGATGGATGGATGTCAAATATTGGACAATTGTCTCTTTCTAGGCCTTTAACTCAGAGATTTGTGTCACTGCAGAACCATCCCTATAGAACGTCTTTCAGGTCTGTTTTGGGGCGAAAAGCCTGAGTGGGCACTCCTAAAAAACTGATGTGCAAAGCTCTTTGAAGGCGATAATCACCATTTTTTCTTGATGTTTTTGTCAAGTAGCAGCCCTCTCCTGCCTACATAAGCTAACAAACCCTCCATTGTTCTAGTTCCTCTGTGCTCGTAGAACTTGAGTTGCGTCCAGTAACTATTATTTGTCATCGTCTGCCCTGAGTTTCCTGAAAACCCTGGACAACAGACAAGGATCTGAAATGCACACTGCTTTTTCAATTATTTTTTTTATTTGCTCGAACCAGAAACAGTTATTTGTTGGATTTTCTGAACTCATCTTACTGCTCGTTTTTGCAAACAAATGAAATAAAATGTGATTATGTCTGGCAAATAAACAGAGCACGGAGCAGCATGTGTGTTAGCTTTCTCCACAAAATGGTTTTTAATCCTATAAAAATCCAACAATTATTTGCTAATTTCTGTGACTAAAACCCTGAAACCGGATTCTGTCCCTGATGCGAGCAGATCAACACGGAGAGCGCTGTGCTGTTATAAATGCCCCGTGCTGTGAGTCCACCCACTCACACTGAGATAAACAGCGATCACAGTGACATTATTGAACCATATTTTAACCGCTGAACTCCTCCTCATCTTTCAGGTCTGCCCTTCTACAGCCGCATAGCGGAGAACTGCGAGGAGGTGGCCAACTTTAACGAGGTCAGTGTCTTTATTTACTCCGTCATAGCCGAAGCTCCCCTGACGATGATCGATCAGCAATTATCAGATAACAATACGCTGCATGTTTTGCTAATGAACTGGAGGAGGAACATCAGTAATTAGCAGACATTGGAGTTAATGGAGTCATCTTGTTTTACTACTTACTAAGTGGCTGAAATAACTGGACATCAGATGAATGAGTGCTGCAGGATTTCACATCTACAGGAACACAAACAGCTCCAGTTTGTTTTATGGAAGATTGGCCAAATAGGGTTTTTAAACTTTAGTTTTTTATATTTCTTTATCTTATTTGAAACACCTGATAGTAAAACTACTTTAAAAATAGGAAGGAAGTCTGGCGTGGAACATTATTTTTCCGATTTACTGGCGATGGAGCCATTTTGTTAATATCAGGATGAATTTAAATCTTTGTCACCTTCTCAGATAATTGGATTTTGAGCAAATGGCTGAGAATGTAAAATAGTTCACATTTTAGCAGACAACTGGAAAAGCTCACATGTGTTTCCCACATACGCTTCAGGAATCCAGCATGTAGTGAATCCTGTTTTCTAAAGCAGCTGTAGGGAGAAGAGATGTGAGATGTAAAACAAACTACTTTAAGCACGTTGAACAAATCAAGTGATGCTGCTGAATTGTTCTTATACTCAAATTCACATTATCCAGCTGTAGATAAGACTTTAAACCCTAAAAAACTCCCCAATAAATGTCCTGTAACATACAGAGGGCATGACACGACGCGAGCACACATTTGTACTGTATATATATGAGCTTGTTGAAGTATCACATTAGAAAAAGTTCATGTAAAAGTCAAGTTTCAGGGAAAAAAAACTAAAACGTTTTTATGCTCATGTGAGTTTTTTTATTTTTAAACAATGAGTTGATGCATACGGAACTTTGGAAGGGACGTGGAGAAAGAAAGGAAAAACAGGAGAGGAAAAAAACAGAGGCATCTTTTGCGAGATCTCGTAAAACTTTCTCGGGATCTCGCAACAACTTTCATGAGATCTCGCAAAACTACAGGGAACTCCAGTCCAGTAGGTGGCAGTAATGCACCTGAGCGTTCGATGCCAAACGCCAAATCAAAAGCAGATGAAGAAGAAGAAGAAGAAGTAAACAACTATAGGTACTTCTGGGTCTTTTTGGCAGTATGGAGAAACGACAGTGGAGGCCCCTCCCCCTCATACGAGACTTTTATTTTGAAACCAGCCTAAAATATAAAGACAGTCGAGCAGTGCTTTCCAAGAGGCACAGTTTTCACTAAACATCTGACAAGGTTGATGAGACTTTTACGAAATCTCGTAAAAGATGCCTCTATTTTTTCCCCTCTCCCTGTTTTTTTTCCTTTCTCCATGTCCCTTCCAGGGTTCTGTATAGTGGGAGTTTCTGATGTAAATTGAGCTCATATGATGGATCATCTTGTTCTGTTGCCTTTGCCTCCGTTCAACATGAAACATGTCCTCTTGTACGTGGACAAAGATTTGCTTCTTCTTCTTCTTTAAAATGTTTAATTCGCTGTATGCCAGATTTAGTAAATACCATAGAAGAAGAAGGTCTTGAATGCCAACAATCACAGGATGTGCTAATTTCACAGCGTGCAGGCCTGCGTGTCTTTCTGGCCGTTCTCAGACTGCGATGGTCAAACTCTAAGGGCGATGTAATGATGAGAACGTTTGTCCCAGCTGGATGCACACTGCATGAAACAGCACGTAGTTTATAAGGGAAGCTGTAAAGTGTGCCGTTTGGACTGCAGCCCTGGTTTTATTTCCGGTTTCTTCTAATCTCGTAGCTCATACCAGAACTTTCTGATGACACGGTGCAGTTTATTTGCTTCAAAGCAGATAATGGAAACAGGCCTGATTTGCATTTTCTTTTGTCTTTTTAAAAAAAAAAATGCAACTATTTAAAAGTTTGCTTGGTCATTATTTGGAGACGCTGCTATTGTACAGGAAGCAGAGTGCATCAGAAGCCCAGTGGAAGGAGAAACACATTCACATTAACAAGCAATTAACAGTTTCTTGTTTTGACTGTGAGAGAAAATTGCAGCGTGCAGAGAAACCCCCGTGCAGACGCTCGGGTGGCTTCGTATGTGCCGCCGTTAAACACTCGGCGACTCCCGTCTTAGCACCTCATTACTGGTGTAACACAAAAACCTCACTGGCTCTCACTTGCAAACGGCCGATGTCCTGCCAGTTGTCCAGTAATCAGCCTCTCCTGTTCACTTACGGTCTATCAGGGTCGAGGAGGTGAGGCAGAATTAGCGCTCGCCGCCCATGCGTGGCGCCGAACACTGTTGTAATTAAAGTAGACACTCCAAACTCCACCGCGAGAACGAGCCGCTCCAATAAATAGCCCTCCTGCCACACTTGGAGGTCTTTTAATGTGTAGAAGAAAGTTTGAAGCCCTTCACTGTTTCACTTTAACTCCAGTAAATTGCATTATTCTGAGCAGCAGCAGCAGCACACATGTGAGCGTCGCCTTCTGAAAACCCCAAAGGTTTTAGCTCGAGCCCCTCCGGTGCTGGTCCCTTCCCACTTTGGCTGCTGTGAGATCCGAGGTGGGCTGAAATGTTCCCAGCAGGATTCCAGTGACACTAAGAAACCGGCCTTATGATGGATTTATATGCAAAGAGTCGGACGGAAGGAGGAGAGGTGAGGAAATGAGGAGGAGATGAAAGTTGAGGGATTAGAAGAGAAGTGTGGAACAGAGGTGGAGGAGAAAGTCGGGGAATGAAAGTTTTTTTTTTAAAAAAGCAAAAGCGCCTCAGACATACATCGCACCTTCCCAGAGGAGCTTTGACTACACGTTTTTTTTCTTTCTTGCTTTGAGCTGCGCTGCTTTCTGCAGAGAAAAACATGTTTTCCTTTGATGGGCTCACAAGCTGAGTGCTGCTTCCTTTGCTGATAACCACGGCTTTTGTTTTCAGTCTAATCAGGAGAATGGCTAAATGACTGTATGGCCACAAACACACACACACACACGCACACAGACACACACACACACATCAAAAACACACATACGCTGTCCCTGCTGAAACAATGAGTTTTTCTTTCTACAGAAAATTGAACAAAAAAGAGGAACTGTGAAGGCAATGTTTATAACGGTGCAGCAGCTCCTTCCGTGGTGGCTGCTGCTGATACGTGATGCCCTCCGACAGCCTCACCCGACTCGCCACGGAGGTCGTTAGCATCATTCAGCGTCAACACTACTGTACTTCGTGTTGTGTTGCTGCTTCTCCCCACCCCTGATGTGATGAGCGGCTCCTTAGCACATCCTCCTCGTCGCCGTCCTCAGCGCCGAGGCATTTGCATGGCTCAGTAGGCTCGGGCCGGCCCCTGGATTTGAGGGCCATTACCACAGAGTTGTGTGTCTTGTTGCTTTACGCATGGACTGGCAGGAAGCCTTTGAACTAGTATGCGGATAGACTGGATGGGGAATCTGTATTCATTATTCATCCCATGGTGGGGCTTTTAGCTGCAGAACACCAGGGCTTTCCCTTCCCCGCCCCCCCTTCACTCATTAGACATAACTGGAGCAACGAACACAGAACCCTGCGAGCGCTGGATGTGGCCACAGGGTTCGGTTTTGGGCCTTGCAGATGCAGCGGTAGAACTGTGGGTTTAAACCAGAGAGCACATGTGAGAATTCCGTTTGGTTTACAAACAAGATGTCGAGAGTTTTGAACCGTGCAGACAAGACTTTCTGCACACATAATGAGAAGATTCGTTCTCCGCTAGCTCGCAGCCGCCACAGCCCTGCAGCGTGTGCAACATCTGACTTTTTAATGAGAGTCTTGCGATTACGCAATGCTGAAATTCTCAGTCCTTTTACTTTTTCATGGGTTTTTTGGATTGTTGTGTACTCACTGTTTCACAAAAGGGACTTAACGTATGTGAAGATGGTGAAAGAGGGCTGTTCCCACCACCAGAAGGAGGTGCGATCGCCCTCGGCTCTCCTGGGTACAATTACGCTCGTTTCTTCACGGTTCTCGGTAGATGTTTCCAAGCATCTTGGAGAAGTTGTCACGATTTCTCTCAAGGGTGAAAAAAATCCAGTTGACCAGCAGCAAATAGGAAACAGATAGGCCTCGACTACAAAGAGGAATCTGAGGTCATTTTAGGTTTGATTCTGGGTTTGGTTCATTAGTTAGTCGTGAACAAAAGTTTCTATACACTCGTATGTCACGTCATGGCAGTCTTGAGATTTCAGTAGCTCCCATAATCTGAATTTCCTGTTGGAGTCATTTCGTGTGAGCTCAGCGAGACGAGGAGAGATCAGCTGTTTGACCATCTCAGAATCTGTTGAAACTTTGTAGGAATGATCTTTGGCATCTGAAACTGACATCTGACTCTTTTTTTTTTAGCTGAAATTCCAACATTTCCATAATTTTTCACCCAATGGAAATTTTCAGTACATCTGTCCCGTGGAGCTCAGTGCGCAGATAGTGGGAGGAGAAGATAAGAGTTTGCAAATGGTGTCAGAGCCACTTCACTTGTATGTGCCTTTAAATGAGTCTAAAACAGAAGCTGATTAAAACACTGAAGCCTGATAGCCTGCTTGTTGACTTCATAGGATTTGCAGTAAACCTACGTATCAGTTTGAATCGTATTTGTTCTTTACTTGCTCCTATGACACCACCAACCAGCAGAAAAAAACAAACAACAACTGTCTTGTGAGATGACTGGATTCTTCCCTTGCATCACCGTAAAAATAGTTTTTATGACTTGAATAGTTTGTCTTCTTTGTGAGCGGCATAAAGGGACCACATCTGTGTTTCTTCTCACAGTCCTGTGATGATAATAAACTGAATCTTGGATCTTTCTCGTAGCAGCTTTCACACAAAGGGGTCGTAATATTGATGAGCGTATTAATTATGTATTCACGCTGTCTTTCCTGACTTTGGCTGCAGCAGTTCCTTTGTTTGTAGCCGGTGTTATATTTTAAATTCCTCACAGTGGTTTAGGTTTGTAGTTTGTTCTTCT